GCTTGCTGATCCCCCCCCGCCATGTGCTGCCAGCATCCCCCCTGCCTGAGGACTGCGAGCAGGCAGCAGGACTGGGCACGTACAGGAGGACACTCAAGGGAGGAAGAGGAAGAAGCTTTCCCAGGCAGAGCAGGGCCAGGCTGTTCACTAGCTGGTGGAGGATGCATAAGGGTATCGAGGCAGCGAGGACTAGGGACTGGGTGCAGCAGGAGCAGCCCCTGGCAGACACTTCACACCCATCACCCCACCCCTGTAATTCCTCCACAGCAGGGGCCAGTGCAAGCCCCTGGCCACCTGTGGGGTTGGGGCAGGGCACTGCAGGCACAGTCACGGTCGGAGGAGGTTTGGCAGCAGCATGCAGCGAGGGCTCAAAGGGGCTGCTGCTGCACCCAGATGCCAGCACGCTGCCCCACAGCTCTCCTGGCAGGAGATGTATAAGGGCAGGGGGAGCAGGAGGCTGCTGGGAGCAGGGGAAGATGCTGGCTGGGCTCTGGCCTGCCCTGCCTGCGGGCATGGAGGGCAGCTAGTCAGGCAGGGTGTGCCACCCCTGCAGGAGCAGGCCCAGGCAGCCCAGATCGGGGTGGGGGATCCCTGCCTGGATGCAGGCAAGCTACAAAGCAGGACAAGGACATGCAGCTCTGCTGGGGGTGAAGGTGCTCGCTTGGCTCCTGGCTCTGCGTGAGGGCTAGCACACAGCCAGGGACAGAGGCTGAAGGCATGGGGAGGAGGGGGTGGAATGGGGAAGACGGGTTGGGCAGCAGGGAGTGCAAGGGCAGGCAGCTCTGGAGGGGATGATGCAAGGTGAAGGATGGGAAAGTCCTGTTGTTTGGGGTAAGCACCATTGTGGCCAGGCTGTGGCTCCCTGCTCCAGGGGTCCCTCTCAGCACCTGCACCCCAGCTGCTGGGCCCTGGGAATGAGCACAGAGGCTGCACTGGAGGCAGGAGGGGCGGGGGACAGAGGGCAGCCATGGGAGGGCACCCGGGGGGATGCCCTGCTGCAGAGCAGGGGCAGGGCAAAGCAGAGCAGGACAGGGGGACACGCAGCACGTGGGGTGATGCTGGCCCATCCCAATCAGCAAGGGCAGCTGATGCAGAGCCACTGTCATGTCCCTTAGCTGATGCCCCGCCAGCTCCGCTCCCCCCAGGGTCTGCGGGGTGCTCAGGCTTCATTGGGTGCCTTCATCCTCATGAGCACAACGTGGCTCTTCTTCCTACAGCCGTAGACCACCAGCGCCACGAGAGCGGCGAGCAGAGCCACACAGACCAGCACAATGACCGCCACCACCACGCCGCTCTGCATGCGCGTCAGCCCCCACTGCCCCCTCTCCTCTTCCTCCTTCTCCTCCTCCTCCCGTGGGGAAACCGGTAACCCCATGGGGGGCTCCGTCCAGGCACCCTCTGGCAATGCCACCTCAGAGGGGTGAGCAGGGAGCAGAGTGCTGGGATGGGGGGATGCAGTGGGGGACCAGGGAGCGAGGAGCTGGTCCCGTGGCAGCCCGGCTATAGGGCTGCCCCTCAGGGCCGGGGGCTGGGCACAGAGGGGGGGTGTCTCGCCCACCTTGTGGGGGTTGTCCTCCAGCCAGCCCCGCAGGGGCAGGATGCCCTCGTCGCAGCGCCAGGAGTTGTTGTGCAGCTTCACCTCTCGCAGGGTGGCCAGGGGAGAGAAGATGCCGGCAGGCAGGTACTCCAGGGCATTGGAGTGCAGCTGCAGGTGCCGCAGCCCCGGGGTGGCCCCGAAGAGACCCCGTGGCAGCGCCTGCAGCTTGTTATGGTGCAAGGGGGTTTTTTCGCCTGCAGCTGGTTGTGGTGCAAGGAGATGTTCTGCAGCTTGGGCAGCCCCTCCAGTGCCTGGGCGTCTAAGCGGCGCAGGGCGTTGGAGTGCAGCGACAGCTCCAGCAGCTCCCCCAAGCCCTGGAAAGCCCCTGGTGCAACCGACTGCAGCCGGTTTTTGCTAAGGACCAGGAGCTGCAGCTGGGTCAGGTTGCTGAAGACGGCAGCAGGGAGGGTGGAAAGCTCATTCTCGTAGAGCCACAGCTCCCGCAGGTCGGGCATGGGCCCGAAGGCACCAGGGGAGATGTCCCGCAGGCGGTTGACGTGCAGGGTGATCTTGGCGAGGGCACGCAGGGGCAAGAAGATGCCACTCGGCAGGGTGGCGAGGAGATTGTTGGACAGGTAGAGCTTCTGCAGGTTCCCGTTGTGCACAAAGAGATCGGGGGACAGCATCTCCAGCTGGTTCTGGTGCAGCCCCAGCTCCTGCAGCTCTGGCAGTCCATCCAC